TAAAATTGAAAACACACTCTCATCTGTCCGTTTCCTACTTTGGCAATTTCTTGAGAAGCTGAATAAATATCAGGGTATTTTGCTGCATTTCAGTTTTGAAAATGGGTTTCCTGCAAGGTCTTCTAAGAAGCTAGGCCTAACTCTATCTTCTTAGCAGGGTTCAGAAAGGCCCACGAAAGGCATTGATAGATAGAAACTGGGTGCAGTTGACCCTTCAGGAACCCACGCACCTCACACACACGTTTCCTAAATCCCGTGTGCTCCCACTGAGCTGATGCGGGGCCAGGTCACGCATAACCATCTGCCCGGGGATGTGGGGAGGGAGGTGGAAAGAGGCCAGAGGAGGGGGCGGTCCAGTCATTGCGAGGCCTCCCTACCAGCTTCAAGCCCACGAGGCCTGTCCCAGGCCTTCTGCCGGCAGTCTGAGCGGATGCAAAGATGCTCTGAGCCTGGAAACCAGAAACTTGAGTCACCCCACACTGCACCCGTCATGTTTACAGAAAGCGAGAATATTTACAGGAACAGAAACATTCAGCTAATTGACTATTAAAGACACTGAATCCAGGAGACAAGATGCACACAGAAACGCCACGCGGAGAGAGGGCACTGTGTGCCAGCCAAGCCAGGGTCTCTGTCCACAGATTTTTCCTGCTGCCCAGGACCGTCTTGCCCCTTGTTCTGCTAATAGGCAGACGACCCCTCCCATATTAAGAGGCCCACTTTTTCCACGAGGAAACCCAAGCTAAGAAAACAGAGCTTTCTTCCCAGTCCACTCAATCCCTGAGCCAAGTTCTGTGAGTCCCCGGAGCTCCCTGGGGCCCTGGTCTCCGAGTCTGTCTCTAAGAAGGCTCCGGGTAGTGTGAGTCACCCTGCTCCCGTCACTGGCCACGAAGGACAGAGGCTCACCCCGGCCCCACCTTCTCTCACATCTCTCCTTCTCCTCTTGGGGAGAAAGGTTTCCACTTAGTCCAGCATTGGAAAGATACAGAGGGGACCTCAATCCTACGTGCAAGCCCTCCCCGCTAAACCACGGAGCAAAGATGCATCTGTGACAAGAGACAAAGGGAGAAAAATAATTACAAAAAGGGCTACACGGGGGAAGAACTGTTCTTGCTTCTGAGATAGGATGCTCCTCTCATTCTTGTTTTATTTATTTATTTAGTCTTTTTTGAGACATGACCTTGCCATGCAGTTCAGGCTGGGCTTGAGCTCACTTTGTAGCCCAGACTGGTCTCGAACTTGCCATGATCCTCCTGCCTCAGCCTCCCGAGTGCTGGGATTACAGGTTTGTGCCACTCTGCCCAGATTTCGTTATTGTTTGTTGTAGTCAAGGGATTGCAAGGAAAATGACTACATACAGGACACATAATTTATAGTAGTATTTGTAATAGTCACCCAAGAGTTAAATACAAGAAGCGAGGAGATCTGTCCATACACTAAAGACCTAGGGAATCCAGCTGAGGGCCTGGATCCCATGGCAGTGTCCTGCGTGTGTCCAGCTGTAGACCGAGCCTCCCACAAGTTCGGCTGGAGGCCTAGAGCCCACGACAGTGACTCATGCAAGTCTGTTTTACAGATCTCTGCTGAGAAGTCCCAAAGGTCAGCAGTGGAAGCTAGAAAGTCTGTGCTAGTGGGCGAAGGATCTGTGCCAGTAGGTTGAGGGTTCTGCAGTGGAGCCAAGAAGTGGCTCTCAAAGTAAGGTCCAGGGCTGCCCTGAAAAGTACCCCGGCCACCCTCAGCGACAACAAGCTCCCGAGCTCCTCTGATGATGAGAACAGCCAAGTGCATATCAGGGAAGAAGCTCCACAAGCTTCTCCAGGAGAACCAACAGCTCCAAACAACAACAGTTAAGTTTAGGAGAACCCACAACGCTACTCTACCTCTCCAGGTCCCCTTTTTAAGCAACTTTCCTCAGCTGGGCCATTTAGACTCTGCACCTCGCTGATTCGTTCAGCTGGCATGATAAATTGACCACCAGTTACCAATCCACTAGTTTCAAAATTAACATTTTTAAAAAATGAAATGATGGTGAATGTCTTTACCTGGCAGTATCGAAAGCTGGTATCTCTAGTTCCTCCTCCAAATAATGTTTTTTTTTTTTTTTTTTTTTTGTCTTTTTCCTTTTTATGGGTACCGGGGATCGAACTCACGACTGCCTGCTTGCAAGGCAGGCGCTTATGCACTGAGCTAAACCTCCAGCCCCCAAATAATGTTTTAAATGAAACATCTAGCACACACTACATAGATGACACGAAAAAGAGCCGAAATAAGCCAGAGACTCCAGGGGGAGACGAAGGTACAGGACATCTACGCCAACCTCCCTCTGATAAGTATGTGCCATACCTGTGAGTATGGAGGGCCTGAGCGGCCCTCCACGGTCCCCTCCAGAGACACCACTCACTTCCTCTGTGCACAGCTCTGGCGATTGGAAAGCGTTTTCTCCTGTAGTTGAGGAATGAGGCCCGCAGATGTCTGGGACCACCGAGATGGAGTCCCTTTCCCTGCCAGTGATGGCCGTTCACCCACAGGAAACCCCGCAGCTCCTCCAAGGCTGGGCTGGGGTCTGATCGCTTCTTTGCTTCCCTGCCCCAATCAATCTCTTTGTGCAGTGACACAGCCGAGATCACGTAGCTAGCGAGTTGGGCTCGGAACTGTGCTCGCTTCTATGTGGCAGTGGCTCAGGCCTAGGATTAGGGTTAGGCTGGGGGTTGGTTCTGGCCAGTTGGAAAAGCAGGAGCTCCCACTAAATACACGAATCCGCACAGAAAAAAAGTCCAAAAGAAAATAGGCCAAAGTAGCCATGCCATCACCCCAGTGGTGAGTTATTGATAGTTTTTATCTTATGTCTACTTTTCTGTCTTTTGTAATTTTTCTACAACAAATTGGCTTTTACTTATTAACCAAAATAAGATAATGAGCCTTTAGGAAGGTTGAACAAGCAAAATCAAAGCCGTGTACCCCAAGACCCCACTTCCCAGTGGCTGCCCATTGAATAAACGGGCAGGGCTAGTGCTCCAGAAAAAGTGAAGGTCACAGCCCCACCCTGGGGCAGATCTCCCTGACCTGTCCTTGTCACCCCAGGGAACTCCGCAGGGAACCTTGCCCTCCCCATTCTGTCCACTTTGCTGCCTCACCCCAAAAGGCCCCTGACCCTAAGACAGGAAAGAAGGGCAGGGATGACCTGGCTCTGCCACCCCTCAGCCACAGACAAGCCTTCTTTTCGACCTCAAGGAGAGGACACTTGACAGTGACTGGACAGTGGGTGGCCGCAAGTGACTTTCCACCTTAACGCTCAGGAGAGTCTGGCCCTGGCTGGAACCCCCAGCCCACTCGAAGCAGCCCCACTGCCGCCCCCTTGGCGTCCCTGGTGGCCCTCAGCTCCCTCTAGGTCTGGAGGCAGCCCCAGGGCTTGCACACATGGCTCAGGATAGGTGTGCAATATGTGCACATGGGATTGTGGTTTCCTGGGGACGTGCATGTGCAGGCAGTGGTGCGGGGTGCAGGTGAGTGTGGGTCCAGGGTTCTCCTGTTACTTCCCCCTTTTGAGGATTTAGCTTTTTACTCTGGGACCCCAGCTGTCCCTCCTCCCCCCTCCTCACTGTTCTCCTTGGCCTTATCCATTCCCATAGGCATTGAAATCCCAGCTCTGTGTCCTTTGAGGCTCTGTCTCAGTCTCTGCCTCAGGGCAAGGTGTCACTCAGGAGGGGCCATGTCATCACTGGCCTAGCAACTGCATGCTCCCCCAACCTTGTGGTCCCTCCTTCAGCACCCCCAGACACTGGGGCATTGCTCTGGATCCAGCTTGTTCCAGACAGAAAGGAAGAACTGCACAATGACAAACTCCCATCACTATTCCGCCAAGGTCCAGATGACGAATAGGGAAGGCTGACAGCGCCGTGATTTGTTAAGCTGACATCGCCTCTCTCTGTGTTGTATAAATTTTAATTAAAATCTCAGGAGTGATTTGAGAATCCTTTTATTGTGCACCTCTGGGCTCCGCCAGGCTTCCCATAATAGAGAAAAGGGCCCCACCAGTCCCTGAAGCACTGGCAGCTGGACAGTGAGCCGACAGCTCCTCCAGGTTCTGCAGGCTCTGGTGACTCCCAGGCAGCCCTACATGTCCCACCAGCCAGGAGCAGGCCCTGGGAGGGGGCTGCGCAGGGACACAGCACGGCAAGGGGACAGTGTGTGTGTGTGTGTGTGTGTGTCCCTCTATGTGCATGGAAAGTAGAATTTCACCCAGTTAAAGTGGGGAAAAGGTGTGCAAATTTCAGTCCCCCCTTTATTTGATGGGAACCTCTGACTCAGATTTGGCTAAGTGGAGAGGGAGGTGAGGAGAGGCATGAGCAGCCACAGTGCCAACGTCCTTTCCCCCACCCATCCCGGAGGTGAAAAACGGCGGGTTGGGAGGACAGTCCCCGGCCTCCAGCCTGTTCTTCCTGATGGCTTCTCAAGGAAGAACCCGAGAAAATCCCCAGTCCTTCCAGAAAAGTCCTCATGGCTGAGCAAAAGAGAGGAGAAAGCCTGGGCAGACGGCTGGAGGGGGCACCCTGGCTTCCTCAAGACCCTGATGGCCCCGTGGGGACCCCAACCTTTGCATTTGTCCAGTTAGGGGCACAAGGGATGAAAGCAGAGCCTACCGTGTACACAGCTGCTAATGTGAGGGGTCAAGGGTAGGCCAAATGCTGAGGTTCAGTAAGGGACCTTGGCAGGACTCGAGGCTGATGGGCAGGACCAGGGACAGCCCTCCAGCTGGGGCCACCTCCTTCCAGCTGTGAACCCTTGGGCAGAGACCTGCCTTTTGTCTCTCTCCCAGGATAGATCCTACCCTGGGGTTAATCGGGGCATGGCAGATATGTTCTAGAAGCATTGGGAAACCAAGTTCTGCTGGACTCTGCCTGGAGGTCACAGCTCCTCTGAGCGCAGCTGCCAGGTGACCGAGCCCAGCATTGGCCCCTCTGCTGACCCTGAGATCCCACCATCCCCTTTCCTGAACTTACCCTCAGGGCTGGCAGGGAGCTGACCTGGTCCACGGTCAGTGTGGCCTCTTTGTAGTACTTGCCTTCAGGGCAGAGCTTCAGGAAAGTGTTGTGGATGCTGAGGAGAGAGGAACATAAATCTTTCTATCACTCTAGAGAATTCCCTGTGCCCTTCCGAGTGCCTGGCATATCCTGGGGAGGACAAAGCCAGCCAGGCACGAGGAAGGGTAAGTGACTGTGTCCTGTCCCCTGGAACACTCGCCAACATTACTTCTGGCCCATCTCAGTCCAGTCCTGAGGTGCAGCTAGAGATGTTGGGGTCACCTGTGTCGCCTATCTGCCCAGCTGTTCTCAGCACTTGGTAGGTGTTAGCTGGAGCCTGGTGAACCACGCAGCCACGCTAGCCCGCTAGGCAGCCAGCAGTTCCCACAGACCACACACAGCCCTGAAGGATCTTTCAGTGGTCCCCAGCACCCATCTGTCTATCCATAGGCCACCTAAATGACTATGTCCCCCGAGAGAAAAATGGCAGGAGGGAATTTTGCCCCAGGCCAAGAGGGGACACCGCGCCCCCATCATCATTGGTCCCTCTCACTCCATCCTGAACACAGGTCTCTGCCCACCAGTGGGCTCTCGGCTCGGTAGGACCAGCAGCCAAGGTAGCCGGGGCAGAGGAACAGTGGTGACCAGAAGGCCTGGACATCTGCTCTTTCACTGCCCTCGCAGGGTCGAGTGAACTCAGCAACTTGACACTTCTGAACCTGAGTTTCAACATCTGGATAAGGGTCATCGGGACTCGTCTTGGAGAGCCCTGGTAAGGATTCCAGGTGAACTTGAGGCAGGGTCGTGAGCACATGTGTACATGTGTGGGGGAAAATCACAGGCTGGTTAAAATCACGTCCTCTACAGCCAGGTGCAGCTAAGTGCAAACGCTGGCTGTCGTGTAGCAGTTCTGAGACCCTGAGCAAGGTTCTGGACCCGCCTGAGTCTCTGTCTGCCTCTTCAGTGAGGCAATAAACCGCCCTCACACGTCTGTGGAGACGAATGGGGAGTGTGAACGGTCAGCACAGCACTGGCCAGGAACATGACACCCTCTCTTTTCCCCTCCTGTGTTGCCTGCCCCTCTGGCCGAGCTGGACCGTGACTGTGAAGCCCTCTAACCTGCCCCAGGCCTGCCAACTGCCTCCTTTCCTGGTTACTCTCCTCTCCTCTACTCTTTTCTGATTCCTCTCTTCTTTCCCATCAAATCCCTAATCTCAGCCGAGTGCTAGGAGGCAATTTATCTGATCAAATTAATTCTCACTGAGGAGAGAGTGGCTAACAGCCCCTCATCACGAGCCTAGGGTATGTGGTTTTATACACTTAAACTCAGGTGAGTGGCAGTGAGGGACAGGTGACTAAGAGAAGACCTTGAAGGGTGACTTTACGACCAGAGATTCACAAGTAGAGGAGGCAGCACCCCAAGGAGGTCGCCCAGGAGACCTCAGAGCCACTGGTGCTACCCTCCCAGCTCTCATCTTGTCACAGCTTACTGACACCTACAAGATCTTCCTTGGCTCCCAGCTGTGGGAGGATGGGAGGAAACAGCTGGGGTCCTGCTGTCCCCTCCCTGCCCAGACCCCTGCTCTGTGTCCCAGAGGCTAATATCAGCTGCTTACGCTGCGCCCTGGTCCTCTGGCTTTGTCTCTGTCCCTGCTACGGTGGCCGAGTGTGCTGCTGTCACCACCAACCAGATGTGGTGACGCTGGTGACTCAGTGTCCCCTCTGCTTCTGGAGGGTTCCTTCACCCGAGCTCCCCTTCAGAGACCCCGCCGGAGTCTCTAGTCTGCTAGGATGTTGGTGGGTCCCGGTCTGTCCCTCTCTCACTGGCTGCAACCAGAGAGCTGAGAGTTTCAACCGTGGCTGCCCGATGGGGAGACAGAACTCTTCACACAGCTCCAGGCTGACTTAGAGAGCGGGTAGACAGGGGCTGGAGTGAACATGGACACGCAGGCCCAGCGCCATGACCCTGCTGGCCTTGGCCTGTAGGGAGCCCTGGACAGTGAGTGGCGGCTCGGAGCGATCTGGGCAGGACCTAAAAAGCTGGGTGTGGAATGGGTTGGGGAGCACAATCTCCCGGAATGTACTGGGGCAGCAGTGCCCATCCTGTCAACAAGAGGGCAGGAAAGCCATACTGGCTGCAGGCTGCAGACTCCTCCAAGGCACAGGAGATTCAAGAGTGTTTGACCACAGCCAAAGGGGCATCTGTCACTGTCGTTGTTAGAATTACTGATGTAGGAGCCTCATAAAAAAGCAGGTCAACTTTCAGTAAGTTTTAGTAATTTTTTAAAATTCCCTCTGGCAACAACATACCCTTGAAGGCTGTACCCAGAGCCACCACTCCCGGTGGCCCTTCTGTGGGTGCCACCAGGAGCGCCTGCTGTATGCTGCCCACCTTCGGGGAAGTTTCTCAGTTTCCTCGAGGTCTTACAAAGCTGGGGCCATTATCTTTTTCACAGATAAGATGATAGAAGATCAAGATAATTTGCACAAGGCCACGCGGCAGTGTTGTTGAAGCCAGTGCGGAGGACACCAAAGCTCTTTCCCCACGGCCCAAAGAAGAGGGCACGGGAGGGACTCTGAGAGGATGGGCAGGGACACACTGTTGTCACCGCCACACCCATGTACCAAGTGCACCCAAGCACCTCACCTTCCCACCCTCAAGCCAGCTGGGAGACGTGCAGGGGGGATCCCTGCTGTGGATCCTTGCTATGGATGGGTAAATGGAGGCTCAGAGAGTTTACAGGGTGTGCTGAAGACACACAACTGGAAATGGCAGAGTGGAGGGCTGGACTTTAAAAACAAGTTCTTCAGGCTGTGCTGCCTACCACTAAATTCTGCGCTCCCCACAAGCACCATGGTGCCCCCCCTAGAATCTTCCAAGAGTGGGGTGCTGCCCGCCCGGGCTCCGTGCCTCCCGCCCCCGCAGGCTGGCTGCCCAAGATGAATCGTGCCACCTTTCTACCACCACAAAAGCATCTCCTCCCCCAAATATAGATCAGTGCTGCAAATGGAACCGAGTTAATCACTAATGGACTCCGGAGTCAGAGCCTCGCACACCCAGCCTGGCCTTCCACACTCAGCTCGGAGCCAGGCTGGGGCTGTCTGTGGTTCCAGGCCAGCTCTGCCTGCCCCTCGCCTCGGCCTTGGGCTTGTCCGGCCCGCTCTGGGGCCTATTTGCCCTCTCTGAGAGGTGCTTCTCAGTGACCCTAAGCATGCCAGCTCCCTCCATTAAGGAGTCCTTGGCTCTAGATTTTGGCATTTCTCTCCAGCACCCTGTCCTCACCCGTGCCTCTGAGACCCTCTAGTTTAGTGATTCTCAAATGGGGTGCCCCCATCAGAACCACACAGGAAGTCTGTAAACGGATCAGTGTCCCCCACTTCAGCCTCCAAGACTCTTGTCCAAGGCCAGGGCAGGGCCCAGCAGCCTACAGTTCCTATGGCTTCCCAGGGATTCTGCTGCACCTGCCAGGGTCAGACACAAGCCCCCTTTCTCCTCTAGCCCCAGCCATGTGGCACACATGGTCTGCTCCTCCCAGGTCTGGTGACCTGGCTTTGGGTCCTGACCCAAGTCCCAGATAAGAAATTGGGAAGGTGACTTCCGGGAGAACATGGCGGACAGATAACAGCAACTACCGGAGGCTCTCTGAAAAACTAGGCTCAGAAGCCAGATATGGTGCAGACTAAAGAGACATAAGCAGGTGGAGTTATGCTCTGCTGACTCAGGAACGAATTGGGCTGAGAGAAACCAACTTGGAATGCAGTCCTGGTGCTAAAACAGGAACAGAAAAGTCTCGCTGCTGAGGCTGGACCCTGCGCCATTGGAAGCCGCGATTTGGGTTTCCCGCCGCGCAGTGGCTGGCTGCCTCTACATCGGCTCGGCAAGGAGAGAGACGCGCGGAAACTCTGAGAACGGGAGTCTGTGAACGGAGTCGAAAACAGGACGGGCAGGGAGGCATGTTCTGACTTGTGGCAAGGTGAGTGAGAGAAACTGACACTCCACCACAGTTTGACTCCAGCGGACTTTCTGGGCCCGAGCAGTCCTGCGGGAGCAGGGCGCAGTGGAGACTCCAGCCACACATTCCCCTCTCGGGCGGGATTGGTGAAAAGTGCCTGGCCTGCGTGACGCTGCCGGCAGACCCAGTAGGCTGGCCCAAACCAGATCCCAGAGCCTGACGGAGGCCGGGAGGGGCAGGCCCCCGCGTAGGCTGCCTGGTGCACAGCGGTGAGTGGGAACACCTAACCGGGGCAATTCAATCAGGCTGTGGCTGACAGGGAGAGAAGCTGGGCCTCTCATATAAGCTTGCATATATAAGGAACAGAGAATATGGGAAGAGGCAGCAACAAGAAAGGCTCCTCGGCCCCCAATTCTGAGAAACAGGCAATAGCAGACACCGCACCATTACACATAAGGCACCATATAGAGAGCCTCATAGACCAATTCAGGAATGAAGTTATCAACGACCTGAAGCTAGAAGTATGCAAAATAGTTAGAGAAATGCTAAGCCCCACCCAAGAAAAAACAGATGGTGGAATGGAAGAACAGAAAAAGAGGGGAGAATTGTTTGATGGAGAAAACAGGGAAAGCATAGAATACGTGAAGCAGGTTCAAAGGGACTACCAAGAAACTAAGAAGTCTATCGAAGACTGGCATAACAGCTTGAAAGAAACTAAGGACAGACTATCTGAACTGGAGGGCAGAATTGTAATATGGGAGAATGAAATGAAAAACTTCTTAAAAATAACAAAGAAACAAACAGCAATAATACAAAGACAAGAAGATGATAAGAGGATCCATAACTTAAGGATTAAGAACATAAAAGAAGAAGTAGGGACACAAACAAATGAACTACAAAAGCTACTCACAGAAATAATCCAGGAGAATTTTCCTAATTTAGCAAAAGGTAAAGATACTCAGATGTATGAGGCATACAGGACCCCAGCTACCTACAACCCTAACAGAGCAACACCCAGGCATATCATAATAAAAATTCCAGAAATTCAATACAAGAACAGAATATTAAAAGCTGTCAGAGACAAGAAACAGATCACTTACAAGGGAACACCCATCAGAATTAC